GGTGTCGAATAAATCTGTGTCGAATCGAGCGGTGTCGAATCGTACTGTGGTCAATAGAGTATCACCCGTGGTAGGAGCAATACGTTATAGAATCCACGTTAGCGTCCTTAGATAAATTCCAAGAACGCAATAGCGGATGGGCCTTGTCACGTATACTGAATTTAACTGTAAACGTGAACAAATACAATCCATTGCGCGCAGGATGTCATATAAATTTGCCGCCAGAAGTTAAGTTTAAGAGAGTGGTGATTAACGTGCTATCCGAGGACAATGCATGCTTTGCATGGTCGGTGGTCGCCGCTCTTTATCCTGCTGCAGGAAATGTAGAACGCACATCATCGTATCCCCACTATACGACAGTGCTGAATCTTCAGGATATTGAGTGTCCAATAAGTGTACACCAAATACCAAAATTTGAACGGCTCAACGAAATCTCTGTAAACGTGTACAGTACGGAATTGATGAGAAATAAGAAAAAAAACAAACTTGTCATCCTTCTAATACGACTCACAGAGCAAAAGAGAGAGAAGCACGTCAAATTGCTTTACGTTTCGGATTTACGAGACGTTAATCGTGGGCACTTTGCGTGTATAAAGAATCTGTCTCGACTCGTGAGCGCACAATTAAGTAAAAAGGAACACAAAAAATATATTTGCGACAGGTATATGCTTGCGTTGTATGTATATAGGATGTGTGATAAATTGAAAAATAATGTATTATATATTTGCAGATGTTTACACTGCTTCCATTCTCTGGACAAGTTGAATGTCCACACCGTAGATTGTGGAAAAATGAACACCTGCGCAATCCGATTACCGACAGAAGAGAACAAATGGCTCAGTTTTAGCAACCTCAGCAAGAAAGAACGTCTCCCGTTTGTAGTATACGCTGACCTTGAGAGCATATTACACAAGACTGATGGAGAGACGCAACAGCAAACATCCTATGCGTATCAACATCACAAGGCGTTCAGCATAGGATATTATGTCCGCTGCTCATACAACAATTCCTTCTCTGCTTATCGGTATCGTCGCGGCGAAGATTGCATCGCATGGTTCGTCGATGAACTCACAGAATTGGCTAATCAAATAAAAACTTTTTTATCTACCAATGTGTCCATGGAAACGTTAACGGAAAAACAAAGGTCAGCTTATCGTAACGCGAGTCACTGTCACGTGTGCGAAAAACCATTCGCGGCAAACGACATAAGAGTTTGCAATCATTGTCATCTAAATGGTAAATACAGAGGTCCCGCGCACTCCAACTGCAACTTAAATTATAAAAATTCACACTGTATCCCAGTAATTTTTCATAATTTATCCGGATACGATGCACACTTTATTATTAAAGAGGTTGCAACTGCGTTGGAAGGAAAAGTTACTGTTCTGCCTATTAACAAGGAGAGATATATATCCTTTTTCAAGAACGTGGCGCAATCGGAAAAACACAATCCAAAGGANTACAATATAGAGTTGCAATTCATCGATTCGTACAAATTTCTCAGTGCTAGTCTCGATAAACTGGCGTCGTATCTTNATAAAGACAAGTTAAAAATTTTACAATCAGAATTTAGAAATTTATCCGTCGAAAATTTAAAGTTATTAACGCGTAAAGGGGTCTTTCCATACGAATACGTAGACTGTGTCGACAAGTTGCAGGAGCAGCGTTTACCACAGCGCGAGTCATTTTACAGTTCTCTGACCGGTAAAACGATATCTGAGAGTGAATATGCACACGCTGTAGACATCTGGCAACGATTTTCTATTTGCACATTAAGTGAATACAGCGATTTATATTTAAAAACAGATGTTTTATTACTGGCTGATATATTTAAAAATTTTCGAGAAAGTTGTGTTTGAAGTTACGGATTAGATCCCGCATTATTATACTTTACCCGAGTATACGTGGAACGCTATGCTGAAACACACAGGTATAACGTTTGACTTACAGACGTTGATATGGTTATGTTTATCGAACGCGGTATACGCGGTGGTCTTAGTCAATGCAGCACAAGATACGCGCACGCTAATAACAAGTACATGCAGACTTACNACTCATCAAAACCAACGTCGTATCTTATGTACTATGATATAAATAACTTGTACGGGTGGGCAATGTGTCAGCCGCTACCGTATGCCGCATTCCAATGGGTAGACAACTTCTGGAGTGTCGACGTGATGTCTATGACATTAACCTCAGATACCGGTTACATTCTTGAAGTCGACTTTGAGTATCCTCGTGAATTGTACGACGCGCATGCTGATCTACCATTCTGCCCGACGCGGGATAAGCCGCCTGGCAAGCGGCAGGAGAAGCTGCTTGCAACACTACACGATACATCGCGTTATATTATTCATTATCGCGCCTTGCAACAATGTGTGCGACATGGTCTTCGTATTACAAAGATTCATTGCATATTACAATTCGCACAATCTCCGTGGCTCCGCAGTTACATTGACTTAAATACACAATTTCGAACGTCCGCTACCAACGATTTTGAGAAAAATTTGTACAAATTGATGAATAATGCAGTTTTCGGTAAAACTATGGAAAATATGCGTAACCATGTAGATATGAAACTCGTAACAAAGTGGGATGGAAAATACGGTGCGGAAACATTGATCTCCTAACCAAATTTTCACAGCCGAAGCGTCTTTTCTGAAAATTTTATTGCAGTTGAATTGCGTAAACTCGAGGTNAAATTCAACAAACCGATCTATGTGNGNATGTGTATATTAGACATATCCAAGACGTGTTTGTACGAATTTCACCACGATTACATGGCACCTCTGTACCAAGAAAAATGTAAAATTATGTACACCGACACAGACAGTCTCATTTATGTCATCGAATGCAAGAACGTGTACGATATCATGAAACGTGACATCGCTCGGTTCGATACAAGTGATTATCCGGCTGATAACGTATATGATATGCCACGCGTCAACAAAAAAGTTCCAGGATTGATAAAGGATGAAAATAATGGAATGATAATGACTGAATTCGTCGGACTTAGAGCAAAAATATATGCATTAAAGGTAGATGGAAAAAGAGACACGAAAAAGGCTAAAGGTGTAAAGAGTAGCGTCATAGCGAGAACATTAACGTTTGACGAGTACAAACAATGTTTGAATGATGAAATCAAAAAAGTGCGTCGATAGTCGTGTATACGATCAAAGCTACACGAAGTATACACTGTGTCCGAATCGAAACTTGCTCTAAGTCCATACGACAATAAGCGGTATATGGTACCCGATTCTACCGAAACGTTGCCATGGGGACATTACAAAGTATGACAAAAAAATCGTGTATAATATAGATTATATATATATTGTCAATTACTACGTGTAATAATAATTATGTATATATGTTGTAACTTAGGTATAACTTTAATTTATATAATGGTAAACTTTTTATAAAGTGTGTTTACAATACATTAGTTTTCATTATCCAAGTTTTCTAAAAGTGTGTTTACAATACATTAGTTTTATTTATCCAAGAGTTGTGTGATTTGTCTAATCCCAGCCACTTTACATAAACCTTGTCGCCTTTCTTGCGCAACACTTTTTCAACGAGATACACTTCTGGATTTGCAACGCGATGTAGTTCGTGTTCGTAGAATCCTTCAGCAACAAATTGTCTACGTGAATCCTCAAGCAGATACGTCACGGGATAGGTCGTTTGTATTTTACTGATGTTAAATACTTCAGTCGTCCAGTTTGGTGTATATACTTTATCGAATAAGGTTTTAAATTTGCTCACGCGTACTGGATCACCCACTTTGAATCGTGCTGGTCCTGCGACCTTGACGTTGCTGTACACTGTGGTTAAGAGCTTATCGGCGATTGCGGGGGTAACATCGATAGGTCGCATACCGATAGTTCGATGTTTTCTCGCGTTGTACTCCATAAGGAGACGCGGTAGTATGTCGATCCATTTGTAGGATCCATTAAGTGTAAATTGTTTCCACATGTCGTTCTTCAAAGTGCGGTTGAATCGTTCCACAATCAAAGCCTTCATAACCGAATATGTGGAATAATGATTGATGCTATGCTTGTTTATCAATGTCTGTAAATCTGTGTTGTAGAATTCCTTTCCACGATCAGTTTGCAAATTGTGCGGACATCTCTTGTTATCTCGGAATATTCCTTTCAAAAGCTTTGACGACTTTGTGTCCACTCTTACTCTTAAGCGGTATAGCCCACGCATACTTGCTCAGCACATCGATAACCGTAAGTATGTAGTGGTAGCCTCTGTTTAAGCGGGAATACGGACGCATTTCTACCACATCTGCTTGCCAGAGATCGTCGTACTTGCGTACGATAACGCGTCTACGAGGAAAATTTCTTCTTGCCGGAGCATGCAATTCTTCTACGAGACGTTGTTTTTCGACTGTAGCATGATTCGTCGCCATAGCTGTCTTATTATATGTCTACTGTGTCAGTCGTTTTATTCTTGTTTGATAGATATTGAAGTGTACGCTGAATGTGTTTTATAGCGTCGCGCAACGCTTGCACGTCTTGGTGCAATGCGATAATTTTTCTCTCACGTGTCTCTTGCCATTCATTTACACTTGTGACACACATATCTACATATCGTTTATTGGCGGCGTCAGTGTCGGTATCAGGTTGCGCTACATGCAGTATCTTACGCGACCTTGCATCGTAGCCGGAACCGACAAAGCAGAGAGTGTTATTATGCACATAATTTCGCAGTATTGTCTCTCTCTCAGAATAATACATCGACGATCTATGTGTTTTCTTCACAAATGTCCTAACAAGACTATTACCTCACTATACTTGATTTCCCAACAATATTTACCTTAATGTAATAGATAATCGCTCAGCTGCAGATATTGGTCCGCGAATAACTGTTTGTTTTGTAAGTACAGGAGCCACTAAATCTAATAATTGCTCAAATTGAGTTGCAGTCATACGATAATAGTTTTTAAATTGTTCATCTGTGAGATTACAGCGGGATACATGAAAAAAATCAGATTTGTGATGAGCTTGAAAAATTGGATTTATCCAGTAGCGTATTTTCTCTTGTATTTTCTTTGTTGCTTTTCTTCTACTGTCATAACACACGCAGCTGTTGCTTTTTGACGACGCTGCACGTTTCTATACCAAATTTTATATAGATTTATACATTCAAAAATCCATTCTGTATATTTTATTTGTAAGACATTTCGAATATTTTTCACCTTTTGCCTTAATTTCCAATAGATATACCCAACTCTCCTTCTTGTAATCAAGCTCTTCTTCTTACATTTGGCATTTAATATTTATTAGGTTATATTAATAATAAATCACTGTATTCTGTCGCGCTACTTTTGTTTTTATGAGCGATAAGTTAAGACAGCGATATGTTCAGTCACGTAATCATTCTATCGCTAAAAATGAGCGACAAGCGACAGCATGAAAAAGCACCTTAATTGTGTGTATGTTTATGTAACTGTTACGGTGTGGTGTCTTTTAATGTCTCTGCGTTGTCTCGTTTGTCGTAGATGTTTTTTGTCAGTTTAGGGGAAATCCCTAGATTCCAGATCTTGTTCTAAATGCTCTGTTTTGTCCCATCCATTGGTTTACAAGTGTTAAAGGTGTCTTTTCGACTGTCTTGAAATGTCCCTAGACGTCACGTCGATACTATTGGTCGCTTGGTGAACGGTTTTCTTTTTCGGCTGTTTGTGCATTGTGAGATGAATGTGTTTGTGGAGTGAACTTGTTTGTGTTTGTGTGTGTCGGTTGCCACTCAGCCTGACTAAAGGCGCTCCCCTTTCTTTGGTTTGCCCTTGCGGGTCACTCCTACCACTGATTTTCGCCATTTGACAAAAATTAAAAGGCAAAAAAAATTACACAAAATTACGAAAACTTGATTTCTATGTAGGTTATATCCACCCACCTACCAGAAAATGACAAAACTCAAAATTTTTCTTTTTAGGAAATTTTCCCTAGTTACTTTTCAACGGTCAACTGAAACATGCTTCAAACGCCTTTTTTGACCATCTACGGTCTTTATTAATATACAATAAAATAAACAAAACAACAAATAAAACTTTAACAGTGACCGTAACCAAATAAACAAAACCAAAATTAACGATTTTACTAGTGACTTTGCCGTCACTTAGGCCTACACATAGCCTTTCAAAAACTTACAAAACTAACTCCGCAGCATTCCGCCAGTCCTTCACGTGTTGTCCACGCTCCTGGCACCTTCTGGTGTCCCGCGCAGTTCTTCTTCCCATTCGTATTGGCCCCTCCATTTCGGCCAATGCGGTCTCTCTCGACTCCACTGGTTGTTTTACTGCTTTCTCCGTACTAATCCTAGCCGCGCACCTGTCCCCTCCTGGGTACGGTGGCAAGGTTAGATTAGGTTAGGTTGTGACCGGGGTTAGGCTGATAATTGGTCAAGGACTTACTTTTTCGGATGATCTTCACGGTCGCCAGTTGCTTTCACCGCCTAGCAACAAGGGTGGCTGCCCTCCGTCCGTCTGCGGGGATGTTCCAACCCTCGGGATCCTTGGGAATGGCAGGATTCACGTGCACTTGCACGAATAACCACAACACTTATTTATTTTGGTTATATATATATAAAATAACGAGTATATTTATTTCTCTCAAAGTTTACACTTACTGTTAACTTAGCGGATTGTTTAACGCACTTATAACTATTATTTAGCGCTAGTAACGAGCTCCCGGAACTTGTTTTTCGTACGTGGTTTAGATATCGCATCCGTTCCGCACGAGGTTCCGTGTGAGACTGCTGAACCAAGATGGTGGTCGTTCCTTCACGGCCTTTAAGCCACTGCCCACATAGGTGCACGCTAGACGCGCCTTAAGGTGTGTTCGTACACCTAATTTCCTAGAACCGGGGAATTTCTCCCGGGCGCGAGTTAAACAAACTCTACAACATTTCCACGACCTCTTTACAATAGGTAGCAATAATCCGGGCCGATAATTTGTTAAATAAACAAATTATCTTACTTAACTAATTAAGGGGAAATTTTATTATGCCTCAACTTTACTTCGCCTTCCGCTTCGCAGGATAACAAAATTTTTCCTTAAGTAGTTAGTTTATGAAAAACCTAAAACTTTGGATTAACTACTAAAACTACGTTCATACGCACTGTAACGCCTACCGGGTTATTGCCAACCATTTGCTTTCTCTTAAAACAAACTTTTCAAAACTTGACTTTACTGTTAACTCTCGGTGTTTCACATTACTACATACTTAGACCTTTGGTTTGTTTAGCTCGCCTCCGTAACACCGTGTCTACTTTTAAACGCGACACACACGTTAAGTACCACAAAACAACCCGTACCTCTTTTCCACAGGTTTTAGCAAAATAAAACGAAAATAAACTAATCCGTACTTAACGTTCAACGTCCCTTCTAAACTAAAATGAGGAAAGAAACAAAACGCAAAAGTAACAATAACTTAAAACAAAACATCACACGCGCTAAGGCGTTTACAAAACGTTTCCACCCTTCTGGTAACACAATACCCTTTCGCTAAGGTATTTCTTCACTGTGTTACGTCGCTTTACCTTTCTACAACACTTTCGATAATAATCCCCATTATGCAGGGTTGTTTGCTTATTATACGATAAAATATGTGTTTAGTTACAAGATAAATGTCTGACTAGTCTCGCCTTTGTTGAGCGAACTCTTACATACTAGTCAACCACTTAAGCTAAAACTTTGTTCTTAAACTTAACAAGTCCTTTTTTCTCTTTCAGGTCCTTGCTGTTGGTCCAACGCTGTCCACGATCTCCTCTAGGACGCGTCTCGCCCAATAACTGGCTTCCTTCCGGAGTTCCGCCCTCTCGTGCGCTAGCTGAGCGCTTATTAAGGCTCCTCTTATGTCCTCCGGGTGTTCTTCACTACGCACCGTTCGATCCGTAGCTGGAGCCTCCGGCTCTGGTGACAAGGTTAGGTTAGGTTGTAGCCGGAGATTTGAGCACATTTGTTATGAGTACTCACTTGTTTAGGTATCACGGTCGCCAGGTGCCTTGTTTAGGGACGAAAGAGCACCATCGTCCTTCCTGCCCTTCAGATATGGTCCCCTGTTCCTTTATGTTCAGGTCAACGCCCAGGATAGAACTGTCCAGGTCAGGTAATAAACACTCACATTTACTTATCGAGTAAATACTCTTACATATGAATACACTGATGCTAGTTAAAATACGCGTGTTTTACGTATTGCACGTCTCAAGTGTACAAGCCTTTTTTATTTCGTGATCGAGAACCCCGAACACGCCATTTTGTCCCGAAAACTTGTAGATCACTTTTTCAACTTCTCCTTGATCACGTTCGCGCAGGTTTCCTTAGGCCTAGCCCAGCTGTACGCGAACGCCATCTCTCCCTCAACGGGTGTGTTCAATGTTAATGTTATTCCAGAGATGATAACTTGTCCATCTCTTTTTTGGATAATATGTGTTTGTTTGCGTGTGTGTGTGTGTGTATGTATGTGTGTGTGCATGTATCTGCATGTGTGTGTGTGTGACTTTAACACCCCGTTTTTGGGCTTACTTAATACTTTACCTTTTCAGGTCTCAACATACAAAAATCTAAAGTTACACAAAACTTAAAATAACTAGGGCTATATCCGAATATCTTTCGCTATAAATACAAAACAAAAATTCGGATTTTTCAAATTCTGATTAAAATCCTTAAAATCATCACATATGTATATGACTAGATAAAATATAATAAATGAAGTGCGACGCGCATGTACAAACTGAAAATTAATAAAATAAAACAAAAATTGCACTTTAGACTTAAGTTGGTTTTTTCGTCATCTGCGCACGTCCAGTGCGCATAACACTATGCGCGCCTTAAGTCGGTTTTACCCGCAACGCTCTTTTCACATTTTCAGCGTCACAACGCGGCTTAAGGTTTCTTCGACACTTAAAGTCCATTAAACTTAGTCTTTTTGGCACAACGGTGCCCTTTTACGTGCCGTCCACACGCTCCTTGTTGGTAGAATCCGCGTGCGATCCTTTTGGCACTTCCTCGTTGTTCATTGGTCGATTTCTCTCAGCCAATAAGGTAGTTTATCCAGGTTTTTGCTGGATTTTGGCTGGTTCTTGCTCCTGTATCATCTTCTCACACGTCTCTATGGCCGTCGGTGACAAGGTTAGGTTGTGACCGAAATTTTAAACATTTTTAATTAAAGTACTTATTTTTTACAGGTTCCACTGTCGCCAGGTACTTGTTTACGGACGATAGAGTACAGTCGCTGTCACTGAATCGTTTCGTAGACGCGGGGGGCTGGGGGTAAGAGGGACGGTATTTCCTAGCGGTAAGTAGCGCTAACGGGCGCCGTCCTAACTAACTGTAGCAATCATCTGATCCACAACTGCGTCGTATCGATAATGTCAATACTTCCCTTGAATATTTGTGTCTCAAAACG